GTTTCTTCTTTGGGGGGGCCTTCATGGATTCTTGCATCGGGGCCCTGAGGTCACTAGTTACGCCACTGGCTGCCTTGCTGTCATACACCGGCTTTTGTGCACGGCGACACTCAAACATAAAGCTTTGTAGGGGGCGCAGTGTTCTTACTAAATCCCTCTTTATATTGTTATTAATTCTGTAGCCCACGTTGAGCTTTACCTGGCTTAACTGTACTTTAAAAGGCGAGTTTCTCCAATGCATAGCGTGTCATTTTTCTGCCTCGTGTCAGCTTGCTCCAGCAGGGTGTGCTAGAGAGTTATCAATCTGTGTTATGGGTATTTGATAGCCTGGCCAATCATGGGCCCTGAGGAACCAGCTGAGGCATGTTGGAAGACCTATTAAATATCTGAGCCACCTTGTGATCTGTCTTTTCCTCTCGGACTTTTGCACTGTGGGAATGTCAGCTTAGAGGTCAGTCACTCCTAGGCCCCGGGCCTAGGCACATGGAAAGATACAGGATCTCCCCTCCTGGGACGGACCCCCTGAATTTGTTGGCTGCTGGAAGAAGAAAACACAGGGCCTAGGGGAAGCAACCTGTAACGGCTCCCCACATATGGATGTGTGGTGAGTGGTTGAGTGGGAAATCATACATAAGGACCTTCCAAAATTAGGATTGAGACCCCACTTGAATCTTGGTCACCAAGGAGCCTGACACTGAAGATGTCCAGCCAGCACGGTCTGTGATTTGAAGAAAACAGCTCGAGATCCAGAAGAGTGATATTAATTCTGAACAACCAAAGAACCAGGTCTGAGGTGAAGGTTTCCGGGACTTAAAGGAGAACTATGGGGTTAAGGATTTTCCCCATAGCTCTCATTAGGGTAACGGGAGGACACAAACTAGCGTCCTCCCGTCACCCTAGGCTCAGTATATAGGGAGCTACAGCTCGCGGTATACCGAGACACCGCAGCTGAAGCGGATCCCGACAATTGTGCCGGGATCCACCCAGCTGCGTGAGTGACAGCTGGCTCTGCCTATCTAGAGGCAGAGCCAGCTGTACCCGCCCCCTCCCCGTCCGTTCCGCCAGTCAGCGCTGGCGGATCGGAGCGGGGAGGGGGGAATCCAGCCCCTCCCCTGTCACGGCAGAGAACTGTGACAGGATCGAGAGGTGAGCGAACGCCGGTATGTGTTCGCTCACCTCCCGATCTACTGAGCCGACCTGTGACAGTCTCATTGTCACAGGTCGGCTAGAACTATGAGGTGAGTGAAAAGCACCCCACCTCATAGTTCTCATTTAAGTAAAAGGACCAATTTCCCATGTAGATGTTTGGTAGCTGAAGATCATAACTCATGTGTGACTACTGATCCCTACAAATAGTGCTGCAACCTTTCCCGGAGAGAACAAAGAGGGCCCGGGACAGGCGAGAGGCTGCTGGGCTGTGTGTTACCTTCATGATGATGTAAAAGGCCAGATAGAGCAGCAGGTTACAGATGAAAATGCCCAGAATATAAGAGGCGAAATCCCGAGGGCGATAAACCAGTCCAAAGATGGCGCTGAAAGGGAAGAAGGGAAAAGGTCAAGGGTCGTGATGAGGGAAAATACTGCAACACAAAGACTGCTAGACTGTTCACAGTGCTGAGAAAACCCAATTTCACGGCTTAAAGTGACCATTTCTGGTATTTATATCTTTCAGTGACATTCATGTAGAACTATTTAGGGGTCCATGAACAAGTACTTAACTGCTCGGTTCATGAGGATATTATTTCAGACCACCACTCTCTATTTCTCATAAAGATACTGAATAAAGAGGCTGAAATAAAGAAATTGTACAAGAGTGCGGTCTGTAGCATTAGATGAAATCAAAGAACCTTCATTATATCCAGATACATTCATAAAATAAATAAATATGGACCTCATCGATCAAAGGGAGGAGCCAGTGTTCATATCCCATCACCTATATTAAAGGAGAACTATGAGGGGAGTGAAAATCACTCCTCCTCATAGTTCTAGCCGACCTGTGACAATGAAACGGTCACACGTTGGCTCAATAGATCGGGAAGTGAGGGAACACATACCGTCGCTCACTTCTCGATCCTGTCCCTGCAGAGATCTCTGACTGTCACTCACAGCTCCCTGCAGGGATTCCCCCTCCCCTCTCCGATCCTCCAGCGCTGACTGGAGGAACGGACGGGGGAGGGGGCAGGTACAGCTGGCTCTGCCTCTAGATAGGCAGAGCCAGCTGTCACTCACGCAGCTGGGCGGATCCAGACAGTATTGTCGGGATCGGTCCCGGCTGCGGCGTCTCAGTATACCGCGAGCTGTAGCTCCCTATATACTGAACTTAGGGTGACGGGAGGACGCTAGTTTGTGTCCTCCCGTGACCTAGAGGAGAGCTATGGGGAATAGCCCTAACCCCATAGTTCTCCTTTAAACAAACAATAAAAAGAGCTTTCATATATGAATGGGTCCGCATATGGGTGATGGGATTTGAACAATGGGTCCTCTCTTTGGTCGATGGATCCATATTCATATATTTTATGAATTTATACGGATATAATAAAGGTTGTTTCATTTGATCTTCTCTAGGGATGCACCGATACTGATACTAGTATCGGTCTGATAACGAGTATTTGGGCGAGAACTTGAACTTTAGGTGTCAGGAATCCCGGCGGTGAGTCATTACACGCTGCCCGGCTTCCTGATTGGCCGGGAAGGCGGCTCCATGCTCCGTCGTCACCCTTGGTCGGGAAGCTGGCCAATCAGGAAGCCAGGCGGCATATCATTACCCGCCCCTGGCTTCCTGATTGGCCAGAAAGCCGGCTCCATGCTTCCGTGTCACCTGGTGATGAGGGAGTATGGAGCCGGCTTCCTTGCCAATCAAGCATATGGGCGGGGTGTAATGACTCGCTGCCCGGCTTCCTGATTGGTTGGGAAGCTGACCAATTAGGAAGTCAGGAGGCGTGCCATCCCTCATCGGTGCATCCCTAATCTTCTCTACAGACCGCGATCCAGTGAAAATTCTTTATAATAGTCTCCTTATTCATTTGACACTTATATAGCTCTGACATATCTGTGACATATATGTTCATCCAGGTCACAGCATATCTAGTAGTAGCAGTCATAGTCAACTGGACTCGTTCTGTAATGTTGAGGACTATTTACAGCTTATTTAAGCCGCTTCTTCAGTTCTGCTCTCAGGGACAATACCTCAGCATTTATGTTCATGTGGATAACAATAGTCCAATCACCATGGAATGTGGTGATTGGATTAATGCGACATCTTCCATAGGGACAAGACACACAGGGGTTGATTTACTAACCTTATAAACACACCACAAACAAGTATACACCTCTGTAGTGTGTTCCCTCCCAGCATGATCTATGGGTGGAATCTAGACACCTTTGTAGTGTGTACACACCCAGCAGGTGTGTTGTGCAAAGCCCTGCCCTGAATTGCAAGGTGATGTTGTGTAAATTAGCTCTACATTGTGTTGCTTGCGTTGATGAATGCAGGAATGTAAATGCACGAGCTAACCATTTTTGTCTAAACTGTGAAGCAGCATTATATATGCATCATGTGAATGATTTTTCCATATATGGCATTAGTGGAAATATGCTTTTAGAGACTTTTTGGTTGATAAATACGCTTTGCTGTGTAAAAATCACACGCACCTGGTGCGTGTGTGTGTGTTTAGGTTAGTAAATCACCCCCACAGTGTCACCTCATATACAGCTTACTGTTATCTCATCTCTTGTTTCCATTTCTGTCCCTTGTAGATCAGGACTCGCTCCCCTATTTTATCTTTATATTACCGGTTTGTTTTGTCCACTGTGTGTATTTATAACTGGAGTCATTTGATGTATTTGTCTTGTTTATGTTACCTACCCATGTATGTATTATCTGAGTTGATAGCACTACATAAAAGAATAAAAACCATAATATAGGATTCCCATTATTAATGGGTCCCGGGGCGTTGCCCCCTCCGCAACTCCAGCTATGATCTTCAGAATACATTAAGATTTGATACTTACAAGAACCAGTTGACAATGTTCCCGACTACAAGGAGAATCATACGATCCTGAGAACAGAGAGAGAAGACAATGAGAGGGCGATCTGTGATAATTGTGATAATTAGTCCTGCTCTCATATAATTCACTTAGATCCAGTGGCGTAACCAGAGTTATGGGCGCCCGGGGCAGAACATTTTTTTTGCCTTCCCATTATATAAACATCTGAGCGGTGTTGGGAGGAGAGACACCGGCCGCTCACAGCGCTCTCCTCCCGCAGCGCTCGGCCGGCTGTCACTTTCTCTCCTCCCTGCTGGGACAAAGAGCAGCGCCCAGCTGGGAGGAAAGAGTTCCCGGCTGCGCCGACAAAACGGCAGGAAAATGGCACTTTCGGCATTTAGCCAAAAGTGCCCCTTCAGCTTTACGCCCGGGGCCAGCGCACCGGCCGCCCCCCCGGTTGTTACGCCACTGCATAGATCATACAGCCAATATATGTGACAGCAGAATAAGGAGAAATAAGGTCCATGGTTGTACGTTTACATAAACCATTCCTGACGTGTCACAACATACAAGAATTAGCACCTAGGACAGATGTAAGTAATAAAAGCTTCCAAATAATCTGAATAAATGTAATAATTGATACCCCCTATCCCCTGCAGCGCACAATCATAAAACCATCTGTAAAAAGCATGGTGGCACAAAGGTGAGCCATTTGTCCAAGGACACTTGGCGATACCTTGTACAGTGTCTGGCCTCCCTCGTCCCTGTATGCCCTCGGGACCCCCTCATTTTATGATCCATGACATGAATGTTACGTCAGAAGATATGTAAACCCGAGAACCAAAATGTAACATATTGCAGATACCAGCACTCAGATGTGATGACAGCATTAGTTTTCTTTTTTTCAAGTGCGTGTTCCACGAGTACAGAATAATTCCTCATCCTGGCAGAAATCCTTTATCGTAACTTTCTGGGCACCAATGTAGAGCCAAAGATAATCTCACCGCTCCAATTCCTTAGCCGCCATCAGGTGCATTTCTGTGCACCAAACTGAAATCTTAAACAGCTTTCCCAGCTACCCTTAGTAAACTTCTAATCCCCTCCCATGTAATAGAGATGGGGAGAGGAAGAGGTGTTTGTATCCCAAATATGGAGAGCAGGCAAGAGTGACAACGTTGTTCCTTCTTAGATTGTCATATTCACCTCTCCTCCGATCCAGCACTGGTCTCCTCTTTAGTGCATGGCCATCGACACTTCCGGATTTCTCCTGGAGTGCCTGTGCCTCGGCCAATCAGGAGACAGCTCTCCGGACTCGCGCGATTTTAAATTGTGAAGCAATGCAAGGCTCTGTGTTTGAGCAATCCCCTGCTGCTGTAATATTACCTGTGCCTGCCTCCAGTCCCAACCCATGCTTCTTCTGCTGCCAGTAATCCCAGTGCACCCTGTGGCTCCAGCGACCTCTGACAATCTTGTGTCATCTACTGACCCCAGTGCACCCTGTGGCTCCAGTGACCTTTGACAATCTTGTGTCATCTAGTGACCCCAGTGCACCCCAGTGGCTCCAGTGATCTTTGACAATCTTCTGTAATCTAGTGACCCCAATGCGCCCCATGACTCCTGTGACCTCTAAGAATCCTATGTCATCCAGTGACCCTAGTGCACCCAGTGGCTCCAGTGACCTCTGTCGTTTGGTGACCCCAGTGTCCCCTGTGCTTCTGTGCGACTCCTCATGTGCCTTGTGCGCCTCCGTGACACCTGCGACTCCGCACAATCCATGGTACAGCCCCCAGTTATCTGGCCTGCCACACCCCACTGTCAGTACCTCAATTGCGGTCTGTCTATCCTCTGATATACTGCTGCAATCACCTGGTATGTCCATCTCTCATTGGCTACAGACCCGTGTCCATAACATAGACACAGTACAGTGAGTGAGCGTTGTCACCCTAGGACAAGAAGTGTTACTGAAAGGATCACCAGGTGAAAAATAAAAGTAAAACGAATGCAGCCCGCACATCGAAGGACAGTGAAGCTGCAATATGTTACATTTTTGATTCTGAGTTTAGAAGAACTTTCATTTGTACTTATACCAAATACAGCAGGAGGAGTGAGAAGACCCCGAGAAAGGAGCTCACACCCGAATCTCTGAAGATGTCAGAAAGACAGCCAAAGACTCCAGCAGGGAGGTCTATCCATTGGCATCCCCAAGTGGTATACGTCTAATAGGTTGACTCAGCTCACCAGACCCCTCCTAGATGTCTTGAAGTGGTCCTGACATAAAAGGGAGATGGATGTTACTCACCATATACATAGGGTGGGTGCACTGCTGCATACAGTCCGTGTAGAGGATCTGAAAGATGCGCCGGAAAATCCCAAAGTCTGCGGAGAGAGGAAGTAGGTGACCGATAATGATCAGGACATTGTAAGGTGAAGACTATACACAGCCATGATTGTCATTCAGAACCATCCACACTATATGACCAAATGTTTGTGGACACCAGACCATCACACCCATATGAGCTGAGGCAGCAGGGGTTACTCTCTGGTCTCTCCTCTGTGCCACATGTGGTCATCAGCAGGCAGATGGGAGCGGTGTTTGATCTCTGGGCTATGGGATCCCAACATGTCCATCTCTCCAGAACACTAATGTAATTATATATATATATATATAGTTTTTGATAGATAGAAAAGAAAAGGACGTTCCCCAAACTGTTACTACAAGGCTGGAAGAGCACAATTGTCTACAATGACTTGGTATGCTGTATTATTAATAGAACCTTCACTAGAAGAACCTGGACTCATTCATTTGGAGGAGTCCACATACTTTTGGCCAAATGGTGTATGTGTCACATATGAGATGACGGGAAAACATTCTCAGCCAGATACAGACAACAGGGACTAGCGTGTTGTGGAATGGCAATCATTCCACCATTATTGAATGGAGTTGAATGGAGTGATTTTGTAGGATGACGTGGCAGTAATTGGTGGTTAAAGGCCAGGCGACAGAAGTAGAGGGAAGGGGAAATCTCTAGGGGGACAGATATGAAAACATTTTCCTTTATTAAAGCATGAAATGGATAGAACCTCTTTAAGGATTTGATACATGGCCAGGTCTGCCCACCAGCCAGTATGAGATGGAGATATCCCAGGAGGCGGCCGTAGGAGCTGGGACACTTCATTTGTCAATAGTCTCTGGGGGACCAGGGCCGGGAAAATAAATATATTGTTAAAATATATGTTCATTTGTAAGATCAGATACTGATATGTTCTCCTGCAATCTCTATTGTCTGTAAAATAGACAATATTGTATGTATCAGTCTGTCTGCCTGTATTTAAAAAGCATCATGAAATCAGACATGACCCAGAAGAGCCCAGGACACACATATGGAGAGCCCAGGACACACATATGAAGGGCCCAGGACACACATATGAAGAGCCCGAGAGACACATATGAAGAGCCCAGGACACACATATGGAGAGCCCAGGACACACATATGAAGGGCCCAGGACACACATATGAAGAGCCAGGGACACACATATGAAGAGCCCAGGACACACATATGAAGAGACCAGGACACACATATGGAGAGCCCAGGACACACATATGAAGGGCCCAGGACACACATATGAAGAGCCCGAGAGACACATATGAAGAGCCCAGGACACACATATGAAGAGCCCAGGACACACATATGAAGAGCCCAGGACACACATATGAAGAGACCAGGACACACATATGAAGAGCCCAGGACACACATATGAAGAGCCCAGGACACACATATGAAGGGCCCAGGACACACATATGAAGGGCCCAGGACACACATATGAAGGGCCCAGGACACACATATGGAGAACTCAGGACACACATATGGAGAGCCCAGGACACACATATGAAGAACCCAGGACAAACATATGGAGAGCCCAGGACACACATATGGATAACCCAGGACACACATATGGAGAGCCCGGGACACACATATGGAGAGCCCGGGACACACATATGAAGAGCCCGGGACACACATATGGAGAGCCCGGGACACACATATGGAGAGCCCGGGACACACATATGGAGAGCCCGGGACACACATATGGAGAGCCCGGGACACACATATGGAGAGCCCGGGACACACATATGGAGAGCCCGGGACACACATATGGAGAGCCCGGGACACACATATGGAGAGCCCGGGACACACATATGGAGAGCCCGGGACACACATATGGAGAGCCCGGGACACACATATGGAGAGCCCGGGACACACATATGGAGAGCCCGGGACACACATATGGAGAGCCCGGGACACACATATGGAGAGCCCGGGACACACATATGGAGAGCCCGGGACACACATATGGAGAGCCCGGGACACACATATGGAGAGCCCGGGACACACATATGGAGAGCCCGGGACACACATATGGAGAGCCCGGGACACACATATGGAGAGCCCGGGACACACATATGGAGAGCCCGGGACACACATATGGAGAGCCCGGGACACACATATGGAGAGCCCGGGACACACATATGGAGAGCCCGGGACACACATATGGAGAGCCCGGGACACACATATGGAGAGCCCGGGACACACATATGGAGAGCCCGGGACACACATATGGAGAGCCCGGGACACACATATGGAGAGCCCGGGACACACATATGGAGAGCCCGGGACACACATATGGAGAGCCCGGGACACACATATGGAGAGCCCGGGACACACATATGGAGAGCCCGGGACACACATATGGAGAGCCCGGGACACACATATGGAGAGCCCGGGACACACATATGGAGAGCCCGGGACACACATATGGAGAGCCCGGGACACACATATGGAGAGCCCGGGACACACATATGGAGAGCCCGGGACACACATATGGAGAGCCCGGGACACACATATGGAGAGCCCGGGACACACATATGGAGAGCCCGGGACACACATATGGAGAGCCCGGGACACACATATGGAGAGCCCGGGACACACATATGGAGAGCCCGGGACACACATATGGAGAGCCCGGGACACACATATGGAGAGCCCGGGACACACATATGGAGAGCCCGGGACACACATATGGAGAGCCCGGGACACACATATGGAGAGCCCGGGACACACATATGGAGAGCCCGGGACACACATATGGAGAGCCCGGGACACACATATGGAGAGCCCGGGACACACATATGGAGAGCCCGGGACACACATATGGAGAGCCCGGGACACACATATGGAGAGCCCGGGACACACATATGGAGAGCCCGGGACACACATATGGAGAGCCCGGGACACACATATGGAGAGCCCGGGACACACATATGGAGAGCCCGGGACACACATATGGAGAGCCCGGGACACACATATGGAGAGCCCGGGACACACATATGGAGAGCCCGGGACACACATATGGAGAGCCCGGGACACACATATGGAGAGCCCGGGACACACATATGGAGAGCCCGGGACACACATATGGAGAGCCCGGGACACACATATGGAGAGCCCGGGACACACATATGGAGAGCCCGGGACACACATATGGAGAGCCCGGGACACACATATGGAGAGCCCGGGACACACATATGGAGAGCCCGGGACACACATATGGAGAGCCCGGGACACACATATGGAGAGCCCGGGACACACATATGGAGAGCCCGGGACACACATATGGAGAGCCCGGGACACACATATGGAGAGCCCGGGACACACATATGGAGAGCCCGGGACACACATATGGAGAGCCCGGGACACACATATGGAGAGCCCGGGACACACATATGGAGAGCCCGGGACACACATATGGAGAGCCCGGGACACACATATGGAGAGCCCGGGACACACATATGGAGAGCCCGGGACACACATATGGAGAGCCCGGGACACACATATGGAGAGCCCGGGACACACATATGGAGAGCCCGGGACACACATATGGAGAGCCCGGGACACACATATGGAGAGCCCGGGACACACATATGGAGAGCCCGGGACACACATATGGAGAGCCCGGGACACACATATGGAGAGCCCGGGACACACATATGGAGAGCCCGGGACACACATATGGAGAGCCCGGGACACACATATGGAGAGCCCGGGACACACATATGGAGAGCCCGGGACACACATATGGAGAGCCCGGGACACACATATGGAGAGCCCGGGACACACATATGGAGAGCCCGGGACACACATATGGAGAGCCCGGGACACACATATGGAGAGCCCGGGACACACATATGGAGAGCCCGGGACACACATATGGAGAGCCCGGGACACACATATGGAGAGCCCGGGACACACATATGGAGAGCCCGGGACACACATATGGAGAGCCCGGGACACACATATGGAGAGCCCGGGACACACATATGGAGAGCCCGGGACACACATATGGAGAGCCCGGGACACACATATGGAGAGCCCGGGACACACATATGGAGAGCCCGGGACACACATATGGAGAGCCCGGGACACACATATGGAGAGCCCGGGACACACATATGGAGAGCCCGGGACACACATATGGAGAGCCCGGGACACACATATGGAGAGCCCGGGACACACATATGGAGAGCCCGGGACACACATATGGAGAGCCCGGGACACACATATGGAGAGCCCGGGACACACATATGGAGAGCCCGGGACACACATATGAAGAGCCCGGGACACACATATGAACAGCCCAGGACACACATATGGAGAGACCAGGACACACACATGGAGTAGAGAGACATTACCTGCATTAGATACATCTGATAGAGACAGCAAAGGAGACAGAAAGAGAGAAAAAGGTGAGAGGAGACCAACCAGCTGTGAAGACATCAGAATACAAAGTCCCCCAATATACAAGTCTGAGATCACTTTACACGTCATGTATTCTTATTGTGATAGTTATATAAGACACATAGTAAATGAATATGTTCCGGAATGTGAAAAGTCAGCCATGAGTCAATAAAGCGTCGCTCCACCCAAACCCAGGATATTATAGTTGGTTCAGTCAGCTTCCACCTTATGTGACTTGAATACTCCAAGAAAGAGATCTCCCAAAGTGCCCAGCTCTGTTTCTGTCCACCTTTGTGTGCCCCCAACATCTCCCACCAGGGATAATAAGACCAGGGGTAGTGGGAAAACCCTCATATTGGGCATAGCAGGTGTACTGACCCAGGAACCTAGTGCGGGGATGGTGGGAGCCCCTCATAATGGGCACAGCAGGTGTACAGACCCGGGAACTCAGCACCGAGATGGTGGGGGCCCCTCATAATGGGCACAGCGGGTGTACAGACCCGGGAACTCAGCACAGGGATGGTGGGGGCCCCTCATAATGGGCACAGCAGGTGTACAGACCCAGGAACCTAGTGCGGGGATGGTGGGAACCCCTCATAATGGGCATAGCAGGTGTACAGACCCGGGAACTCAGCACCGAGATGGTGGGGGCCCCTCATAATGGGCACAGCGGGTGTACAGACCCGGGAACTCAGCACAGGGATGGTGGGGGCCCCTCATAATGGGCACAGCAGGTGTACAGACCCAGGAACCTAGTGCGGGGATGGTGGGAGCCCCTCATAATGGGCACAGCAGGTGGACAGACCCGGGAACTCAGCACCGAGATGGTGGGGGCCCCTCATAATGGGCACAGCGGGTGTACAGACCCGGGAACTCAGCACAGGGATGGTGGGGGCCCCTCATAATGGGCACAGCAGGTGTACAGACCCAGGAACCTAGTGCGGGGATGGTGGGAACCCCTCATAATGGGCATAGCAGGTGTACAGACCCGGGAACTCAGCACCGAGATGGTGGGGGCCCCTCATAATGGGCACAGCGGGTGTACAGACCCGGGAACTCAGCACAGGGATGGTGGGGGCCCCTCATAATGGGCACAGCAGGTGTACAGACCCAGGAACCTAGTGCGGGGATGGTGGGAGCTCCTCATAATGGGCACAGCAGGTGTACAGACCCGGGAACTCAGCACAGGGATGGTGGGAGCTCCTCATAATGGGCACAGCGGGTGTACAGACCCGGGAACTCAGCACAGGAATGGTGGAAGCAGCTCATGCTGAACAAAGCTGCTGTGCAGGCCCAGGTACTCAGCAGAGGGATGGTGGGAACCCCTCATAATGGGCACAGCAGTTTCGTAGAGCTGGGAGCTCAGGGCTGAGATCTCACCAACAGTCCACCAATAATACTGTACTGTACAGTATAATGACACAGCGAGTGGGAGGAACACACAGGAAACTGTTAGGAGGACAGATTTGGCTCTTACCAATCTTGAATCGCCCCATGTAGTAGATGTGAGTGCTGAGTGCCAGTGACCCCACCACATGGATGACGGAGAAGAACACCCAAAACCACCAATTGTCCTTCCCAAAGACCTGGAGGAGCAGCAAAGAGAAGAGAGGGATGTAAGTAGGAGAGATGACCTGTGACACGGAAGAGTGACCTGATGGCTCATTTATACCAACAAACATATTTTTTTATTCTCTACATACAGTTTTAGTTTTACAAATAAACATTTAATACACGACGAGAAGCAAAACTGTTTTGTGATGCACAGATCCCTGCTTTCTGGAGACCAACCCCGGGTGAATTTGTTTCAAAAAAAAAAAGAAGAGGGATAGAAAAAGATGGGGGTTTTTTGGTGGCTCCAGAAATAACCAGTCCAATAAACATCAGTCTCATAGAAGTATAAAAAGTATACATTTATTGAACAATATATAATAAAAGCATTAACTATGCATGAAAGGATAAAAATAAAAAGCATATACCTCAGGGGAAAAGATATACCTCCTATCACCCCCTATACACCACAATTGAGATTTTTGCCTAAATGATCATAATCTCATACATGTGAGGAAATAACATCATAATAACATAATAACAAGGCAACTCAATATGAGACAGGTATTCATGGAATGTATCTCAAGTGGAAAGGGCGAAGCTGATGGGGGTGATATGTTGCTTGCAATGCTAGAAAGGCACTGCCTGTAAGCTCGTAAGCTCAACGCGTTTCACGCCAATGGGGCGCTTCTTCAGGAGCGGGGAGAGGTAGTCCCTTCAGTGTGAGGTCAGCAAGTGCTTAGCAATGGCATATAGCGGGCCAAGGGCATGTGAGCCCAGGGTGGAGGAGGATGGAATGATCACAGCCAAAGCGGGCCGGGACACCATAAAAAGAGGATGGAGGAGTGTCCACATGAGGAGATATAGGGTCCAGGGCAGCTGAGGGGAAAGATCCTCCACCTAACACCGCTGATGTTCGTAGGGCCGTTGCCAGCCCTGCACAGCCCTTTAATACACGACGAAGGACTTCCATTGCACCCTGGGTTCATTCAGTGATTACTTGAAGCTCTTCGCCTACTATTAGTAGGTATAAGGCCAATATTGCACCGTCTGGTGTTAAAAAAAAATCCACAAGGCCAGCAGCTTGACACACCAGACATTCGGGTTAGTAGTATATTGAGGGTTGCAAGGCAGGACAGGTACCCTGTTTCCAGGAATATAAGACCTACCCCGAAAATAAGACCTAGTGGTGACCATTCCCAGGGCCGGTGGTGGCCTAAGGGGGAACCTGAAGAGAGGCAGGAGAGAATCAGCGGTGCCAATGAAGTCAGTGCTAGAGGGAGCCGATGCCTCCTCTATAGCGCCGGCTCCTGTCACAGGCGGAGTGATACCAAATGCGCTCCGCCTGTGAGGAATCGATAGTGAAATCGCGCTTCACTCATTCTGGCCAGCGATTGGTTACCAAATTGCTCTTGGAAAGTTACGGCACCCCTGATTGCCCCGATCACCCGATTCTTAACTTTGCCATTTTGGATTATTTAATTTGGATTTGTGTTAACTTTGGATTGCTGTACATTAAAAAAAAATAAGACCTACCACGAAAATAAGACCTAGTGTGGTTTTTTTAAGCCAAAAAAAAATATCAGACAGTGTCCTATTTTCGGGGAAACACGGTAGGTGCAGTCCCTGCAAAGCAGACAGCAGCCCACATACCCTTCCTCTAGCATTCAATGCTGCGCATGTGTAATACAGTGTTCCCTCCTGCCATCAGTGATATGCTGAAGTGTTGGGATGGTATCAATGATTGCGCATGGGTGGGAGATGCACCATCACTGGCGGCCACGTGCCCTAAAGAAGAAAGACACTTGCAGTGGAAGAAGCCTCCGTGAATATGCCACCAGCAACTATAGACATGGAGCTGTCACCACTGGGGCAGAGCAAACCCACTGGCAAGTTTGCATGCTGTGCATTGTTGCCAGTGCTGCCCATCACTTCATGCTACAATGCCACTTTAAAAGGCTTTCCCAAAACACAGGGTGAGCCTTGCAAAGCACTGGTGCCTGCTACTGATGGACTTTTAGATGTTTTGTTGCAGGCATGGCACGGGGGAGCGGAGTAGGCGCAGCTCACCCAAGGGCAGAACAAAGGTTGTGCACCCCTCACCCTTAAATGGCATCCTTCAATCCCTCCAATCATGTGCCTAAAGGTCGTGTGTTCAGATCCACAGACAAACAAGGATTGTACCGGCAAGGATGGAGCAATGGTACGTACCACTCCGATGACTGCCAAGAAGATGATGAGTGCGAAGGACGCGTAGGCTGCATAGGCGCTGGCATTGATGTCAGGGTGCCGGGTCTGGTACAGTTTCAGCATGCAAAGCCCCGCAATCATATACATGAAGGATGTGTCTGGGGAGAACAGAGGAATACAGTAAGCCTGATGCCACTTGTGTCCAGTGATCTGATCTTATTTGGTCTCTATTTCATTAAAAGCTCAATTAATCTTTCAGTTTAAAAGGAGAACTATGAGGCGAGTGATTTTCACTCAGCCTCATAGTTCGAGCCGACCTGTGACAATGAAACTGTGACAGGGCGGCTCAATAGATCACGAGGTGCGCTAACACATACCGTCGCTCGCTTACTTCTCGATCAATCCGTGCAGAGAGCTGTGACTGTCACTCACGGCTCCCTGCAGGAATTCCCCCCTCCCCGCTCCGATCCTCCAGCGCTGACTGGCGGAACGAACGGGGGAGGGGGTGGGTACAGCTGCCTCTAGATAGGCAGAGCCAGCTGTCAATCAAGCAGCTGGGTGGATCTCGACAGTAATGTCGGGATCCGTTCCGGCTGCGGCGTCACAATATACCACGAGCTGTAGCACTCTATATACTGAGCTTAGGGTGACGGGAGGACGCTAGTTTGTTTTCTCCATAGGAGAAGTATGGAGAAAAACACTTACCCCGTAGTTCTCCTTTAAATGAGCTAATGCATTCCAGGTGCATCGCAATAAAAGCAGCCACAGCCTGAGCAGAAAAGCCTTTCCCCTGCCAGCATGCTGCAGCACAGGGCCCTGGAAGCATTGGTCTCTCTGCACAGCGCCAAAACACACTCCCTACTGATTCAGAGCTAGGGTTCTCCAATCAGAAGGGAGCATTTGGTGATTGCTGATTGAAGAACACAAGCTCTGACTTAGCAGGGGTTGCGTCAGACCTCTTCAAAGAGACCTCTGCTTCCACAGAGAACAAGGTTCCGTCTCTGCAGCATGCTGGCAGGGGACAGGCTTTTCTGCTCAGGAAGGGGCTGCTTTCTAATGTGTGGACTATTGCCTGGTGCTTTGATTTTAGATGCATGTAGATATATTACAAAATGAGGAAAGTTTTGAAGCTGCCAGACCAGAATCCAGAAACATCACTGCAATACAACTGGATAATAATTCCAAAAGGACATTTCTAGAGCTACTTAAACATTTCATCAATTTCCCTGAGCATGAAAACCAAGCAGAGTAAGTCAGTGAGAGAGCAGATGGCGGCTCTTACCGAACTGGAAGTTGGAATAGTTGGGGCAGACGTGGTAACAAGCGCTGAGTACCCCCTCCATGGTCAGAGCGATGCCCATAGTGTAGAACAGACCGAAATGCTTGGGGATGCCGTATTCCTGTAGGAGGAAAACATTTCAGCACTTCTATCCAATGCCGCGCAGAACTTTAATAATCACTTGAGAGGTGCAGAGCTTGCCATAAACATTCCAGTCTCATTGCGTAATTCTTTTTTAAGATGGCTTTTCGTGTCCCCGTCTGAGCAATCACCCTACACTAGACAGGTACCATATGCTGGCCAGATACAAAGCAGGTCACACAGAGTCATTGGCAGGCCTGTATTCCCCACAAGGCCACGAGGCCCGGCCTCGGGGCGGCAGGGTGCAGAGGGGCGGCAGCGGTGTCCTTGTGGGGAAGTTGCCCTCTCTACATTCAGTGCTGCTTTGTACAAGCCGAGCTAAATGTAGAGTGAGGGAAGCCGATTTTTCGTTTACATGTGAACTCAGCGATGTCGCCGATTTCACATGTAAACAGTGTGCAGCCGGTCCGTCCAACCTCCCCTTCCCCCTGCAATTACCCCTCCCCTCTGGTTCCGTCCTCCGCCGCTGAGTCTCTCACTGCAGTGAGCAGAGCGGCAGGGTTAAAAGTAACCCCGCCGCTCCGTGTACACAGTGAGAGGGGAGGGCTGTGCCGTGCTGTGCTGGGCCGTGCTCTTCCTCTCTCACCTGTCACAGGAGTTCCAGCACAGTGCTGTGCTAGAACTCCTGTATTGGAGGTGACAGGGTCAATAAAGAGAACCTGTCACCTCCAATTCCTATCATTGCTAAAAAAATTACATTGATTAAAAAAAAATGTTAGAAATAAAAATGAAAAACAATTATATGAAATAATTAAATAAAAAGATGATTAAAAAGTAAAAAAATAATAACAAATTATTAAGAAATAAGAAAATAATTCTAAAAAATAAACAATAATAAAAAATTATAAAAAAGTAAATATGATAAATAAAAATCTAAAAAAATAAGAAGAAATAATTAAATAAAAAAGTGATAAAAAAGTAAAAATAAAGAAACATTAAAAAAAATTCACACTAACCCCGCCGCCCTGCCATCTGGTTGCCATTCTCCATTGATGGGAAGGGGGGAGTGGCGGGCGGGGGGCGCATCGCGGAACCTGGCCTTGGGGCGGCTGGGCGAGTAAATACGGCCCTGGTCATTGGCTTCTAGGACACCTACGGAGGTTTGACAGGTGGGGCACTGGCTTCATAATTCGCCTGTTTGGTGAACTGTCGGGGGTCGGAGTCATGCAGAGGCGTATCTACAACAAACTGCACCCCTGGCGTCCCACCCAACTGTTAGCAATCAGTGACATCACTGGTTGCCAGGAGCTGGGTGGGAGCTGGCCATTGTATCCCAGGTTGCTAAGAGCTGGTCGGGGGGATGTGTAGGGTCATAGACATCTACCCACCCGGCTCTTAGCAATCTGGCACACTCTGGCCGGTGTCCAACCTGCATACACATCTTCCCGCCTTCGCCTTGTCTGGTTGCTAAGAGACGGGTGGGGAGATGTGTATGACGCTTAAACCTCTCCCCTCCTGGCTCATAGCAACCTGAGATGCTCTGGCTGGCGTCCTGCCCAGCTCCTGGCAACCAGTGACATCACTGGTTGCCTGGAGCTGGGCGGGATGCCAGCCAGAGCGGCCCTGGTTGCTAAGAGCCAGACATGGGAGAGCAGCGGGGAGAGACAAAAAGTCAGCTGTCTCAATGGGTCTGTGAACTTTCCCCCTTCAAGTGGCACCCAGGGCATGTGCCATATGTACGATACCTTGCATACTCCACTGGAGTCATGGTCAACCCAAAGCTCATCTCTACCCGGAACGCGTAGGGTCAACTTTAGTTTTACAAACAATGACTATGTAGTTTAGGTCTGCCTAAGTGACCCATTTGATCTACACTGAGTGGCCAGATTATTATGACCACCTGACGTTTGTAGGCAGATTAGCTATAATTTGGCGCTGAAGTTGCTAGAGGGCCAGACCATTATAAATAGGCATGGTTACCACGTTAGCAGGTTGGTTACCACGACAGTAGAAGTGATTTGTTTCTGAAGATACGGGGAAAGAACGCAATTTAACAGCCTTTGAATGCGGGATGATTGTTGGCGCTCGGAGCCATGGAGCGAGTATCAGCAAAACAGCAGAATTCGTTAAATGTTCAGGAGCAGCTCATTGTTAAAGTGTTTAAAGACCGGACTGTCAGCCGAAAATCTGGGTCTGAACGTGCGAATTGTGGCCGTCAGCGACTAGTCAATGTTAGGGCAGAACGGAGAGTGGCAAGACTGGTACAAGACAACAGAAGGGCAACAGTGCCGTGTCAGATTCCTCGCATCACCTTTCACCATCTCGTGGAGTCACGAGGCGGCCCAACGAAGTACTGATGGGGTGGTCATAATAATCTGGCCACTCAGCGTATAACCAATCACACCCCACACTTCTAGTTAGTGATTGCATAATCAGATCAGAAGGAATGTGGCTGGCCTAGAATGACCTGCCCGGGCTAAACTTTGTAAACTTTGCACCCCACCCCCCATGGCAAGATGGTGCTGGAGAACCTACCAGGGCGTAGACGTCTTTGCCCCGAAGCAAGCTGCGGTGAAGGAGATCTCTGCGCAGGACGATCAGGAGGAAGAGGAATCCCAGCATCACATGACCCATGTTACTCAGAATGTTGTTAAAAGCGCTGAATTCAAATAAAAAAATACAAAAGTTTAATTTATGCCATAAAAATGGTTCTGGGGAGACCAGGTTGGTGAACTGCGAGCAGTTAGGTTTGGCTCGGAGTCATGGTGTCCATCCCAGCTACTGGCAACCAATGACGTCACTGGTTGCCAGGAGCTCGGCATGACACCAGCAGGAGCACTGCGAACTGCGAACAGTTGGGTTTGGGTTAGAGTCATGCAGAGGTGTATCTACAACCAATTGTGCCCCCGGAGTCCATCCCAACTCCTGGCAATCAATGACGTGACTGGTTGCCAGGAGCTCGGCGGGACGCTGGCAAGAGCATCCAAGGTTGCTAAGAGCTGGGCGTGGAGATGTGTGTGGCCCCTTACACATCCCCATGTGGCTCTTAGCAACCCGGTGACGGTCTGACCGTAAAGGGTGCAGCAGGCACATTGCAAACATTGTGCAGAAGATGCCACAAGATGCCGCCTGAGGCAAAGCCCTCAGACTCCCTCCTTATAGAGACGGCCCTATCTCCTTGCACTGGAGGAGAACTGATTGGCTCCTTGCGTTGCTTCTACCTCTCCCAATCTGAGCTCTGCTGTACAGGGACTGCAGGAAGCTGACACCAGGTCACATTTATGTAGTACAAACAACCACTGTATGCTTATTGATGTATTAAAGGAGAACTATGAGGTGAGTGCTTTTCACTCACCTCATAGTTCTAGCCGACCTGTGACAATGAGACTGTCACAGGTCGGCTCAGTAGATCGGGAGGTGAGAGAACACATACCGGCGTTCACTCACCTCTCGATCCTGTCACGGCTCTCTGCCGTGACAGGGGAGGGGCTGGATTCCCCCCTCCCCGCTCCGATCTGCCAGCGCTGACTGGCGGAACGGATGGGGGAGGGGGCGGGTACAGCTGGCTCTGCCTCTAGATAGGCAGAGCCAGCTGTCAGTCACGCAGCTGGGCGGATCCCGGCACAATTGTCGGGATCCGCTTCAGCTGTGGCGTCTCAGTATACCCGGAGCTGTAGCTCCCTATATACTGAGCCTAGGGTGACGGGAGGACGCTAGTTTGTGTCCTCCCGTTACCCTGAGGAGATCTATGTGGAAAAGCCCTGACCCCATAGTTCTCCTTTAATGAATACAGAGTTGCATTACGTTGTGTCTTTTACTCTGCTTGGCTTTGTGTGCAACAAGTAATCATCTTCTTCCAGACAATGAACTCAACACACCACTGAACAGAGAGGTACAGAGACTCATTCATTAGCCTGGACGGGCTTTTTGTTTCAAAATAAAAACAAACACTAAGTTAATAGAAGGTTTTGGTTGCCCCGAGCAATAAATAGCATCTTGTGGGCTGTTACAGATAATTAGATCTCCCCATAATTAGTGTAAACGAAGATGTAATTAGTGTACTGAGGATGAGAACGGGACCATCTACCCCCCGCAGGTCCTAAAGGACCAAAATAAGGAAGAATATTGTATTCTGGTAACTGTAGGGTCTATATCTATAATAATATTATTCAGCATATGAATTTCTTTTATAGTTATTCTCACAGGTCTCCATTAAAGCTGAACTCTGGGATCAGTAAATGTTGTCCTCATACAAGAGTCATGTGTATTCTCCTTGTGAGCTCTGTGTCTCTGCCCCCTCCTGTAATAAAGACCGCTCACTGCTGCGCTCTCTCCCTGTGCAGGGCGACTGGTCTTGTCTCCGCCCCCTCCTGTAATAAAGACTGGTCACTGTTGCGCTCTCCTCCGGTACAAAGTGACTGGTCTTGTCTCCGCCTCCTCCTTCAGTGGAGACCGGTCACTGCTGCTCTCTCTTCTTGTGCAGGGTGACTGGTCTTGTCCCCGCCCCCTCCTCTAATAAAGACCGGTCACTGCTGCTGTCTCTCCTTCAGCAGAGTGACTGGTCTCGTCTCCGCCCCCTCCTGTAATAAAGACTGGTCACTGTTGCGCTCTCCTCCGGTACAAAGTGACTGGTCTTGTCTCCGCCTCCTCCTTCAGTGGAGACCGGTCACTGCTGCTCTCTCTACTTGTGCAGGGTGACTTGTCTTGTCTCCGCCCCCTCCTGTAATGAAGACCGGTCAGTGTTGCTCTCTCCTTGTGCAGGGTGACTGGTCTGGTCTCTGATCCCTCCTGTAATAAAGACCGGTCACTGCTGCTGTCTCTCCTTCAGCAGAGTGACTGGTCTCGTCTCCGCCCCCTCCTGTAATAAAGACCGGTCACTGCTGCTCTCTCTTCTTGTGCGGGGTGACTGGTCTCGCCTACACCCCTCCTGTAGTTTTCTGCAGGCAGTCCATGGTGGGTGGAGTCTACTAGGTCCCTCCCACGGCTCTGTTCTCTGCACAGGGTATGTACAGCCCAGTGATGATGCCACTGCTTCATTGACAAGGTGATATCTGGGTCTGCAAATGCATTCGGTGCACACAAAGTGGATTTAGATCCTTTGTGGCTGCTTAGGATTACATTTGAGTAAAAAATATTTTCCCCAAAAGTAAACTCTTTAACCTTGACATCTTTTAAAGGTGCTTTGTGTCCCAGATTTCTATATAAAGGGGATAAGAGACCCCCCGAGGGTTTACTGACCTGAGTACTCCAAGCGGGAGGGCGCACAGGAAGTTGTAGTAGCAGATATCTTGGTTTCCGGTCACATTTACCACCTGGGGGAAAAGCAGGCAACGTACCTGTTACAAGGGCTCATATCTCCCCCTATGCAACCAACAGCATATGCCAGTGAGTGGTCATTAGTATGATAGATTGTGTGTTGCATTGCACTATGAGCGCTGTCACAGTTGGGCATATCTGAGCACATGTAAACCCCGGTGAAGCCGGGAAATGCAGCATAACATGTCGGGTTATGGGGAGAAGGAAACGTATTAGGAAGGAATACCAAAGGGAGATGAATGAGACATTATAGAACAAGCATTCAGATCTGAACTGGGGAATAAATGTATTTAAAGGATCTCTGTAGAAAAGGATTTGAAAGTCTCTAAGAGGCAGTATATAGTTATAGGAGGCAGAGGCGCATCTACAACAAATTGCGCTCCTCGCATCCTGACCAGCTCCTGGCCACCAGTGACATCACTGGTGGCCAGGAGCAGGGCGTGACGCCAGCCAAAGCATCCTAAAGTGTTTTATGAGGGTGCCCATAGAGCGAAAAAAAAACAAGGAGGTCAGGAGGAAACTAATGATGGTGGCAAAACAGGGGAGCAGCCTGGGGGGGAACCAGAGGGCAGTTGCCCCGGGGCGCCACATTTTTAGGGACGCTGTGAGCAGTGCCGTTCAGTGCTTTGTATCTGCCTGGACAGCCTTGGTTATCCCGTACAATGGGGGACCAACAGAGTGCCGCTGGGTGGTGGAACGCTGCGCGGAGTAGCCGCTGGATGGCAGCAGAGTGGCCAATTCCTCCATAAACAGAGTGTGCGCACCCGAAAATGTCTTCCCCCAAAAGTATGACAGCTCAGGCAGCAGCAGTGAGGAGGAGGATGGAGATAAGAGGCCAATGGGGGTGAAGAGGTTGCCGCCCCACACACCACCTTCCCAAGCCTGATGAGATCTTCTAGACTGTCATCTGCCCGGCTTTCCTCTCCACCCCTTCTAGCTCCAACATTAACTGGAAGAAGAGGCTAATTTTATCCCCCAAGGAGGTGACCCTGGAGGGGAAATGGGAGGGCGATAGGAATTGGGGGGGAGACGTGGGGTACTGATCAGAGAGGAAGTGGGGCATGGGAAAGGGGGTACTGATCAGAGAGGAGGTAGGGGATGGTAGAGAGGGGGTACCACTGATCAGAGAGAAAGTGGGGAATGGGAGGAGGGGGGTACTGATCACAGAGGAGGTGGGGAATGGGAGGAGGGGGGTACTGATCACAGAGGAAGTAGGGCAGGATGGAAGTGGGGGGTACTGAGAATGGGGGGTACTGATTAGAGAGGAGGAGGGGGATGGGATAGAGGGATACTAATCAGAGGAGTACTAATGGTCCACGGGGTAGGGGATGTAATACTTGTCTTGCCCAGGGCACTGACAACCCTCGCTATGCCATTCTGGCAATAGGGTAGCTATGAATATTATATCACAGAGATTGAGCCCCGACTGCATAATTATTTGCTTTTGTAATTTTAATATAATAAGGGTAATTCAACATGCTTCTTGCCTGTATGTACAGTATGTAGGTATGTACAGTATGTATGTATGTATGTAAGTATGTCTGTGTACAATATAATATTGTTACACATAATTGTGTGCTCATTTTTTAGCCACATTGTATCACTTTTCTTTAGTGATGTTTGAACAGACAATGGGCCACATTTAGTAAAGCCATGGGGCCACATGACACGTACCGTTTGGTAGGTGATGACCAACTGGACGACGGGCAGTGCGTAGAACACAGCGATGGTGATGATGTTCCTGCAGGAGAGAGTGGTCAAAGGGTGAGATGGGTAAAAGTCCCTACAGGGGTAACAGCATGCTCATATTATATTAGGGGTGTTTTGGAGCCCAAAAGCAGCCAGAACAAAGCACCAACTAGATCGCCTTGTGGCTGTACCACCAGTTCTACTGCCTCTGCCGGTGGCTGGAGATGCCTTAGGATCCCAAAGATTAGCAGTTGGGTATTACACAACTTTCTTTTCAGAAACTACAACTCTCAACATGTCCCGTTAGCCGCATCCCAGAATTCCTTGTACAATAATGAAACCAGTTGGAGATATTTGTGTTCAATGATCTGGAAGTTACTCGATACTCACCAGAGGTAAATCTTGTATTTCTTACTGATGGTTCGGCGGTCTTTCACGGAGAGGTCGGACACATACAGGAAGGTCTGGAAGAAGGACGGCCGTTAGTCTGACTTATAACCATCACAACATTGGCAGCTACGAGTCCTCGAGTGATGGAAATATGGGGGGGCGCTGCGTTTATCACACGTACCTTGGCACGCATTACATTTTTATCGCTGTCCATTTCTGGAATGCCATCGAAATCACTCTCTTCGTCCATGGAGCTGTCGGAATAAACGCGGGGACGAGGGATGGGTGGGACAAATTTTCCTGGCCTCTTGCGGGACTCATCTATGGGGTTAGGAGAAAGGGTAGAGGGGGATAAAAGGGAAAGTGGGGAAAGAGAGAGAGAGAGAGAAGGGAAGAAGGGGAGACAGTGACAAAATGAGAGAGGAGGAGAGAGAATGAAAGAGGAACAGAGAGAGAGAGAGAACGGGGAGAGGGAGAATGGGGAGAGAGAGAAGAGAGTGGAGAGAGCGCAGGAAGGGGGGAGAGGGATAGAGAGAGAGTAGGAAGAGGGAGAATGGGAATAAGGAAAGGAGAGAGTGTATGGTAAGAGAGAGAGAGAGCGAGGTTGGGGAGAGAGAGAGAGAGAGAGAGAAAGAGAGAGAGAGAGAGGCAAGTGAGGTGAGGAATAATTGGAATAGGAGAGAGAGGGAGATAGAAAATATGAAGGGGGAGTGAAAGAGGCAGAGAGAATGGGGGACAGTGAAAGGAATTGCAACAGAACGGGGACAGCAGAGGGAGAGGTGTAGTCACAGAACAAATAGGAAAGAGTAAATAACATTATATTTTGCTTAGCACCACTTGTTTCTAGAACTGGAACATCATACAACCCTAACAAAATATAATTAAGAAATGTATTAGTGATATCTCTGCTATGCATTCCCAAATGCATTATGAGGGGCTCCCACCATCCCTGTACTGAGTTCCCTGGTCTGTACACCCGCTGTGCCCATTATGAGGGGGTCCCTCCATCCCTGTGCTGAGTTCCCGGGTCTGTACACCCGCTGTGCCCATTATGAGGGGGTCCCTCCATCCCTGTGCTGAGTTCCCGGGTCTGTACACCCGCTGTGCCCATTATGAGGGGGTCCCTCCATCCCTGTGCTGAGTTCCCGGGTCTGTACACCCGCTGTGCCCATTATGAGGGGGTCCCTCCATCCCTGTGCTGAGTTCCCGGGTCTGTACACCCGCTGTGCCCATTATGAGGGGGTCCCTCCATCCCTGTGCTGAGTTCCCGGGTCTGTACACCCGCTGTGCCCATTATGAGGAGCTCCCACCATCCCTGCACTGGATCCTGATATGTTAGAATCGATGCTGACTCACACTTTCTTTCTATGCAATGGTTGGGAGCACAATTTGATTCCACAATAAATTATGATGATCTTTTATCACATTCAGTATTTTTGGAGGTAACAATTATTTTCTAAGAATTACACCCGTCATACCTATTGCTCCGTAGCTGCTGCCCTCTGGGGTGCTGGTAGCGATGGGGTGAGAAGCCGCCACCGTACCTTCTCCTGCAAACACAACATATCCTGTTAAGGGCCATAAAATCAGACCTAAGGACCACCTGCATTATAAGGACACTTTTACCCCTCATAGTAACTCTGGTCAGGGATGTGTTAGGATCTGGGTGTGGATGTGTTAGGATCTGGGTGTGGATGTGGTAGGATCTGGGTGTGGATGTGGTAGGATCTGGGTGTGGAAGGATATGATGTGAGGAATTAGAGGGCCGGTAATCTATGACAGAAAATAAAAAATGGGCAAACTAGAAATAAATAATACGGCAAAAGTGTGCAAAGAAAACCAGGCCTGCAATACCGATTGTGACCACTGGGTGGGGAAAGGATCCTTAAGATCCCCAGCGCACACTTCTAGTGCACTTGGTAAAGTTGGGGCATGCTGTGACACACCTCAGCCGGGCCAGCCCCCCCTTATGTAATACCAAATATTCATAATTTCTCTGTAATTATATGAGATCTAACGTTGAAACCACTTGATCTCACCGGATCTAACAAAGGCCTATCAGCCTGAATAAAATTTTACCAGAACATTTCACGGAGG